GTGCGCACGAGTAATATTCTTAAATTACAATTTCCTATCGTTAGCTATGAAATTAATTGTATATTTTGAATGTAATAAATGTTATCAAAATGTGAATTTTAAATTCTTATAAAAAATAGTTGTGTCAATGTATTTTCAATATTTTTTAACTGCTAATGTAACAATAAACCAGGAGAATTATATTTAATTATTAAGTTTTTTGTAACAACGAACAACATTTTATTCACATTTATAGAAAAAAAAAACAATAAAACGGAAAACTGAAAATTTAAACAGCTCAAAACGAGTCAAAAAATTTAAGACACTTTTTTTTCTCCATTAACTACTTCATTTAGTTGTTTAGGAGATCTCTACACCATTTCCTTTTTAAACGTCGTGAAGGACTACCAGGGATTACGTAGGATAATAGTTCATGAATTTAAGGATTCTTGTGAATTAGAAGACGATCATGAAAACGTTTATAGAAACACTTAACTTCTTCTTGAACGGTTTTTTGATTTAGATCAGTGTAAAGGGCGAAGTTCGATATGTATAGAGGACAGTTAGTTATCATCCTTAAAGTAATGTTTTGGAACGTCTGAATTTTTTTATGATTTGAAATTTTGGCATTACCCCATTGTTGGAGACTATAATAGATCCACATAGGTTTTAGTAGAGATTTGTGCATGAGTAGTTTAATGTTTAAGTTGGTGTGTTTATTATTATTGAGGGGTTGTTTTAATAGTGCGTAGCCGCGAATTCAGTTGTTGTATTTTAGTTTTAATATGGTGTACCCAGATGAGATGGTTGTGTGGTGTTAGTCCAAGATATTTAACAAGAGTTAAAGGAATTTGAATGTTATAGAGAATTACAGGCGAACATGTGATTTACGTCATGTGATTGTTTAAGGATGAAGGTTGTATGAATTTATTTAACTTGGTTCATTTTAAACCACCATTTTCTGTTCCAGTTCTCCATATGGAAAAAATTATTTAAAGATTGGTGGTGGCGAGAACAGGGTGAGCTCTACTTGAAATTATTGCCTTGTCATCTGCATAGTCCACCGACCACCACTAAGGTGTTAGGCTTAATAGGTTGGCCTGAGGTATAAATATTAAACAAAACTGGGCAGAGAATTCCTCCTTGTGGAACGTCAGCTCTAATGTTTGCATATTTAAATGTGCAGATCCATGACGGTTTTGAATGTAACGATAGTCAAGATAAAATTTTAAGAGAATACAGTAAGTAGGGGTAGAAATTTATTTAACTTATATAACAACCTTTCGTGCCATACTCTATAAAAAGCTTGCGAAATGTCAAGAAACTCACATGTGCAGAAAAGTTTTTTATCTAACTCAAAGGAAACCGCATCAACAACGCTGTGTGTTTGATGAACGGTTGAATGATTGGCACGGAAACCAAACTGATTATTAGGTAGAATATTACTCGCATTAATAATGGGTAGAATACGTTTGATTAGAAGTCTCTCTAATACTTTGGTTAAAAAAGGTAATAAGCTTATCAGTCTGTAGGAAATTAAAGAGTCAAAGGGTTTGTTTGGCTTTAGGTTTAGTATAATTGTTGATAACTTCCAAAGTAATGGGAAATAGGAGAGCCTCAAAATCACATTAAATATGTGGATATGTGGATAAGTAGAATAATTGCATGTTTTAGTTAACATCTGGCCACTTAGGCTGTGATTAAATTAAAATCAGAACATTTTTCGAGTTAGTATTATTGAATCGTGGATTTTAGATCGTTTGGTATAAAGTGTTTCATTGGAGGGGTAAGGTACATTTGGACAGTATTTATGTTTTCCGATACAATAATTTCTGAGTGGGATTCAAAGGTATCGTAGATGTGATTTTTAAATAATTCATCTTTCTCAAGGCCAGAAGAGGCAAAACTGCCATCGGTTTTTCTTATTGGAGGAATTAAGGGCTTGTGATGTAGTAATTGCTTTATTGAATTCCAAAGACTTATATTGTTTGTAGAGAGGAAGGATAGGTGATTTACAATAGAAATAGAAATTTTTTGAGTGAGTTTGCCAATTTGATATAATTTTGGTGGTTGGAAGGGAGGCGGGTTCGTTGATAAAGGACTCTAGATCTCCGTTTTCTACAATGAGCATACTTAAGTAGGTTAATAGTGAAAATTGGTTTTTGGAGAGAATATTTGAGGTTGGGGTGGAAGACCAGGCCTCAGATTGAATTACCTTTGTGTGAACCAATATCGTCGTTGAATATTTAGTTTGATTTCCTGGTTAACTAGGTCATGAAATTTATATCGATCATTGGCAATGTTAAAAAGCGTAGGTGGAGTTTCATGTGTTGAGGGGTATCATTAAAAGAAAGGAGAACAGATGCGTGATCAAAGTTTAGATCAAGAATATTATCGGCAGTGCAGTATAAACTAGTGGGAATTTTCACGACGAAAATGTCCAGAATGTCTGGACTTTTTTGAAGAGAGTATGGCCAGTAAGTAGGTTCTGACGGAGCAAGTATTTTTAACTATTTGCATTCATGAAGTCATGGAGAACAAATCCACTTGGGTTATTTGTACGACATCGCCGATTTTGATGCTTCGCGTTATTATCACGGTCGATCGTAAAATTATTATTTATTGTTTAGAAATAGTTTGAATAACGATCATGATTAAGATTGTGCCTAGGGGGAGATTATATTGCTGCAACCGATAGTGGAATATTGTTCAGGTTGATTAAGACAGCACAGGATTGTAAAAAATCTTGGCAAAAATTAGGAAAGGGTTGGAAAGCTATTTGTCGATTCTCTAATCGTATAAAACAGTTTGTAATTCATTGACATGATTTTTTAGGCCATTTGCATTGAATAATAAGATGGGGAGGGATTTACTAGTAAGGGTATTATTGATAATTTTTTTTTAACTATAAGACTGGTAATTACCTTGGTGAGTAAGGCAATTAGAGGATTTAGAAGATTTTTGAATTGTTTTAAAAAATTTGTTAAGGTTATGTTAATGTCAGGTGCAGCTGAGGACGTCGGTTGATTATGGAATTGGCCTGCAGTTGTCTGAGCATAGGATGACGAAGGGTTTGGAGGATTAAATTATCTGGGTGGCTAACTTGTACATTATATGACTTAGGACTAACATTGTCTGATGTTAAAACATTACTTGGAGCCGGTTTCTTGAGGCGTTGAAATTCTTTGTAAACATTGCAGACTCTGTAGTTTGTCGGATGGCTTCAGAGCATAACGCGCATTTGGCTGTAAATCACGTGATTTGGTGCATTCAGAAGATGAGTGAAAAGCTCTGCAACAGACGTAACTGGCTGAGTATCTACAGTAAGCTGTGTGACTATAATACTGGCAGCTTAAGCATTGGCTCACTATTTTAGGTTTCTAAGGCTCCTTAACTTTTATTTTGTATGAAGGAAGGAAGATAAATGATAAATTTAATTTGAAGGATAGATGGGCTCCAGATCAACAAAGAACAGTGGGATCGGGTATTTGTTGTTTTGTGCAGCACGTTTGTAACCCTCATAGACCTTATAGAGACGCATTTCTAATTCTGATTTCATCAGTTCGGTAAGAGTGGAATTATAGAGGTTTCGTATAACTACTCTAGTCGGTTTATACTCTCTGAGTTGGTAGCTATGATATTCCGGGAATTTCCCTTTTATATATTGAATGAGTAATCTATACGATTCTGGACTTGCAGTCTGTATCTTTAGTCAGCTAACCTCGGTGACAGATTTTCAATAGAAATTGTCAACTCCAATAAGCTCGATTAAAGATGAACAAAAGCCTGGAAAATCCAATTTCCTTTCATGAAAATCAGAAGTGGTGATTTTATGTAATCAGTGAAAATAGCTTCTTCAGGAACAGCGGATGCATCCATCACAATATCAGCAGGTTCGGTTTGCGCTAGTGATTCAAAACGGTTTCGTATTGAAAATAATTTTTTGGATATTGGTTGGTCAGTTTTTAGAGGCATAATTTTGGAGGACGTGGAGTCCGAGGAGTTTGAGTGATTTCTTTTGCTAGACTGGGTTGTCTAGTCGTTGTTTGAAAAATTAATCATATTAGTATGCAGAGGACTGATGCTAGTATTGTTTTTAGAATTTTTACTAGAATTATTTAGGCGAGCAGCTTGTATAGTGTCGCTTGATTTACGAGCCGTATTCTTGTTATTTATACTTAAGGTTAATGACATCTTGAGTGAGCAAGATCACTATCGAATGAGCGAGCCCTCGAAAACGTGGTACCTTCGACAACTATTAGGTAATCGCACTTGTTAAAGTCAAATATGAACAATAACTACATTTTAAGAGCACGACGGACAAACGACGCACTTAAGATTCAAAATTAATTTGCATTAAATTTAAATTGAGTTTAGTTATTTTACTAACTTTTTAACGAAATTTGTCGTACACGGTTGCGAAAAAGAACGAAAATTACCTACAATTATGCAGGGAATGTGTGTGTCTCGCATCGTGCGCAGTGCGATAACGGCGACTGACATAAATAATTAAACATTGAAAAATATGCATAGTAGGTTAAGTTATTAGTTAATAGTTATAATGCTAAGACAATTGAGTCATTAAACAATTATCTGTCATGAAATGTTGTGTACATAATTATCATAATTTATGTATCCACATTTTTCATAAATTATCACTAGAATATTTATAATATACTGGAAGACATACGATGTCCTTATATCCTGTTTCTTTCATCATAAATTTGGTGGGTACTTTTCGAGCTTCCAATCACACATTTTATATTAGATACAACTTATAGTAGGAAAATAATGACGATACAAAATAAGGCACCATTATCATGTAGTGAACTAGAAAAAATGAAAAGGTCCAAACACTCTAACACTACAAATAGAGTGACATTCTAAAATGTAGTTTCTTCTATCATAGAAACTAAATTTTTTTAATACAACTGGTTGATTTATTTCGATAAACCACTGCTTCGTCCTCTAGTTGTATTTACTTATCATAGTTACTCACAAGTGTGCTTGTAAACAGTGTAGTGAACTCAACTACTTCAATAATGATCAATTTAATAATCCAGTCTAACATTAGTCAATAGTCATAATATACCAAGGTTAACATGGTGATGTCACGGAATTAACACAATAAATTGAACAACAATTAATACTAACCAACAGTCCAATACTAGTAACAGTTCAAGTTCAAACGCCAGAAACCCACGTTATTCAAACATCAAAAATGATAGTTTTAAAATCAAATAAAATGTTCTTACCTTTCTTTTCAATACTAATTTATATGTTTGCTTGTTCGTGGATACCTGCACCCATTGAGGGGGCTAGAATATTAGCTGTGGAGACCGTTGGAGGTAAAAGTCACTGGAACATTATGAGTGGAATTCTTCGAGCATTGGTGGACAACGGTCACAATGTCACCGTGTTCACGCCATTTCCTGAGGGAAACCGTGAAAACTATACAGAAGTATCCACATCTACAGACGCTATAACAATTCTAGGAGACGACCTCGATGATTTGATGGATAAATTTGGTGATCCCCTTAAAACTATTAATCAGGTGTCATTAATCAGTAGAGATATGTGCGATGCAGTGTATGAAAATAGTAAAATGATAGAGGTATTGGCTAATAAACGTTCCGATTTCGACATAGTTATAATTGAACCAGTATTCTCGGAATGCGTAACGTACGTCGCTGTCAAGTTGAACTTGCCACTCATATACGTCTTTCCAATACCAACAACAGGTGTAATGGAACGAATATTTACGGGACACGGCTCCAACCCCGCTGTAGTTTCCTTTAACCTGGCAAGTTTTGGTATTCCAAAAACATTTGTCCAAAGAACAGTCAATGTTGCTCTTTTGATTTATGCCACAATCGTAAGAAAAATATATGAACTGATTCTGATGTACAAAGAACCAAGAGACTACGATTTGTATGCACCCATCCCACCTTCTTTGGTATTTGTCAATAGACATTTCACAATGGAACCAGCAAGTCCTATCCAGTCGAATGTTGTGGAAGTCGGTGGAATACATTTGAAAGCAGCCAAGAAATTACCAAAAGTAAGTGTTGTTGCTAACATTTAAGTATAGAATAGAATTAGGGTGCAACCTATAAGTGATTTTTAAAAATATACATATTCCCTAAATTCACATACATTTCAAAAGAAAGCAAAACAGCTAGGAGGGAAAAAATATTCACTTTTATCTTATATTTACAAAATTTGAAAATCAATGAAAAATATTAATTAAATTATCTGATTACACCAGGAAAATGTTATCCGTTGGTAGGTACCTATCAATTATCTAGGTACCCTTATGAAGCTAAATCTATGTTGACAATTTATAAATTTAAAAAAATAGGTATCAAATACAATGAGTTAATTGAAACAGATTATTCTTAAACAACAATTTTAATAAATTATTGAAAAATAATTTTCAATTTTCCAAAATAAATTATAAACAATATAATTCGTTTATTTATAACTAAAGAAGAACTAATATAAATATATAAAATCTTTCTTCACATAAAATATTATATTTTTTAAATATTATGTTAAACAATAATAAATTTAAACTATTTCTTTTAGTACCTATTGAGTATTGACATAATCGATAATAATTATATTTGCTAATGTTTTTGAATTAAATAAAATTAATTTATTAAATTTTTAATTACAGGATTTATTAGAATTCATTGAACAATCGCCTCATGGTGTTGTTTATTTCACTTTTGGTTCAACTGTTAAAATGGCTTCATTGCCAGAAAACACCAAAAAAGCATTTATGGATGCACTCGCACAAATCCCTCAAAGAGTTTTATGGAAATATGAAGATGATATTGAAAATTTACCAAAAAATGTTATGATTAAAAAGTGGCTACCTCAACGTGAAATTCTTTGTAATATTTTAGTGTTTTAAATTTCTAGAATATAAATTATATTGTATTAACTAACCTTTTTTTATTAAAGTACACCCAAATGTGAAACTCTTCATCAGTCACGGAGGTATATCTGGATTATATGAAGCTATAGATGCTGGTGTCCCAGTTCTTGGATTTCCTTTATTTTCTGATCAGCCGAAAAATGTTGACAGTTTGGTCAATGCAGGAATGGCGATTTCTATGGATATTTTGTCCGTTACAAAGGATGAGTTCTTAAAAAATGTTTTGGAACTATTAAACAATAAAAAGTAAAGGCATCTAATATTTTGTAAATAGGTATTGAAAATGTTGAATTACTGAAAATATTTTTGTATGCATTTTTCCAGGTACATGAAGAATGCTAAAACTGCTCAAAAAATATTCAGAGATCGGCCGATGTCACCAGCAAGTTCAGTTGTGTTCTGGACTGAGTATGTTATACGTCATAAGGGTGCTCCCCATCTGACATCTCATGCAATTAACCTACCGTGGTATCAATACTATCTCTTGGATCTTATTAGTTTAATATTAGTTCTTATTGTTGTTGTGTTTTTCGTTTCCTACAGATTTTTAAAATCTGTTACTAAATATTTTTCAAATTATTCTAGAAATATTAAATCGAAATCTGAATAGTTTTTAATACCAGTAATAGATAGGTAATTAATAGTTTATCGGCGGATCCAAAGTTAGGGAACTGTGGATTTCTCCATTTCAAGAGCCCGCGCTTATTAGGGCAAAACTGGATCAGAACTCGGTATCCTGTAACAAAAAAACACAATATGCTGATGATTCGTATAATCTATAGATATATACAGAACATTTCTTACATTTATTCATAATTATCATTGAAAATCAGGTTGAAGACATGAACATTTAGTTTGTGTATTCCTAAATATTAAATTTATAGTTAAAATAAATATATTATGTATTTTAGTTTATAAAAGCTATTTAATAAACACTTGGTAAGTTATAACTACTACCTGCTATTTATCATAACAGTTTTCTAATTTTTTTTTCATCTGAGGAGAAGTTTCAATGTCTCAAAATTAATTTTTTGAGCTGTACATTTTTCCATATACCTACTAAGTATCGAAATATTTGTATAAATTGTCTTCAGTTACTGTACGGCAAAAAAAAATCTCAATTAATTTAACCCGACTAGAACTTATTTCAGCCATATCCGCAGGCCGTAGCACTACTGAATGGAAGTTTATCCAAAATTTCATACAGAGTGAATAATTAATAAAAACATTTCTTTAGATTAAGACAATAAATGTATGATACAGTATCAGAAAAATCTTTAAAACTGTAATTTAACCAAGAAATGAATATAAAATACCAAGATAAGAGTTTTGTATATTTGTATATTGTTGGAGTTTTGTAAACTATTAAATTTCCATTAATTATTATTTATGTTTTAACATTAAGTGTTGACTATTGAACCGTTATGTATTGATTATGATTGTTATGAATTATTTTTTTCAACAAATAAAGAGTTTTCTTTTGTGTACTTGTTTGTCCTATTCTAAATATTGTAAGTAATTTCTTAATAATTGACTATAATTATTACGTTTTTGTATAGGATTTAGGTATAATGTTTTACCAAGTGAATAAATACTTCATTATTAACAGCGGACTGTTTAATATATTTTTTTTTAAATATTTCATCAAATAAATACAACATACTATAGACATATTTTTACATATAAAAGAAAAGGTAAGTGCGTAACACTCAGTAGTACATTAGGTGTTTAGACAGTCACTGTAATGTATGTGTTAAAGTTTAATTCAATGATATAAAATCATTGTACACGAAAAACGTTTCTGAACGTATTATATTACTTAGTAATTTAATACGTTAGATGATATTGTTGTGATTTAAGTAATTTATTTTACCATTAAGCTTAAGTATTCAGTACTGCAGTAGATTAAATTTATTTTAGCCAAAAGAAATACATCGATAAGCCATTTATTTGTATAAAATATATTAATATACTCTAACAGTTTCGAGTGCCCATGAGTGATATTTTAAGTTACAATAAAACAACTAAAATCGTTACTCTTGGTTTTAATATGTAATTTCGCCGTATTTGAACTTAATAAAACTAACTAAAAAAAAAAACTAATACTAAAACTATACGTACAAATTGTGGAATACTTTTGGATTTTTTGGTTACAGAATAAATTACTTACATGCAATTTTGTTGTAAATTTTCAATCCTTAGCTTTAAATGTTGATATTTTTTTTTAATGTTTAACTATAGAATCATTTGTAAATTTTGAATTTAATAAATGTTATCAAAATTTGAGTTTTAAATGCTTATAAAAAATAGTCGTGCACACATGTACTTTCAATATTTTTTAACTGCTATTGTAACAATATATCAGTTGAGTTATATTAATTGTTAAGTTTTTTGACACAATGAACAACATTTTATACACATTTATAGAAGAAAATAAAACTAAACAATACAAAACTGAAAATGTAAACAGCTCAAAAGGAGTTAAAATATTTAGAATATTTTATCGAGTAAAATATGAATTGATTAAATAAACACAATATGGTGTACATTTCAAGTGTCTTGTTTTGTAATTACAACAAACTCAGAAAATAGCTACAAGAGAAATCCAGTGATAATATCCAATGTTATAATAATGTCAAGTGTCAACTTCAAACGCTAATAAAAATTTAATTTGACTTTTCAGTGGACATTTTTTTTTTTTTTTTGGCAAACAAACTTATAAGGAATTTTGTATTACATTTTTAAATCTTAGATACAAAAAGAAAATTGTTAAATATACCAAACTCAAAATAATTTGTTAATTTCCGTCATTTTTACGAATTTTGTCAAAATTCAAAATGTCAACTCTCATGACAAATTATTGTGGATTTAAGCTTTTTGAACTTTTTTTATTATTTCCAGTTTCCACTAAAAAAAACTTAAAAGAAACCTTATATTACATTTTCAAATTTTTTACACAGAAAAAAAATTTCACATAACAAATTTACTATCTCAGTTTGTTAGAGTTTGTTAGACAACTTTTAAAGTTTGTTCGACTTTATTTTCAAAGCTGGGAATTTTTAACAATTCTAATTATAATACTAATATTAACTCCTCAGGTTCATATACATTTAATTACAACAAGATGGTAATGAGTATTTAGTTACACAATTGTGTCTTTAAAGTTGCATTTATTTTTTAGACATTTAGAATTAGATAAATCTATATTATAATGCGTATGGCTCAAAAAAAGATCAAAAATCAAAAATTTTAACATAATTTAAGTATCTACTTTTTTAATAAATTATCACTTGAAAATTTATAATATACTGAAAGACACTCGGTGTATTTATATCCTATTTCTTTCTTAAATTTATCGTAAATTTAGTAGGTACGTTTCAATCTCTCAATTTTACAGTAGGAACCTAATGATAATAAATAATAAATCACCAATATCCTGTAGTGAACTGGAAAACATTAAAAGGTTCTCACACTCTATCATTACAAATACTCTGCCATTCCAAAATATAGTTTCTTCTATCATGGAAACTAAATGTTGTATACAACTGGTTGATTTATTTCGCTAAACAACTGCTTCGTCCCCCTTGTTCTATCTATTTATCATAGTTGCGTACAAGTGTGTGTATAAACACTGCAGTGAACTCATCTACTTCAAAATTGATCAATATGGTATTCAAGTCTAATTATAGAGTAAATAGTCATAATATAGCAAGATTAAAATGGTTACGTCACGCGATTAACATGATAAATTGAACAACGGCTATTACATCGCAACAGTCCAATACTGGTAATAGTTCGATTTTAAACGCGAGAAACCCACGTTATTTGAACATCAAAATATGATAGTTTTAAAATCAAATAAAATGTTCTTACCTTTCTTTTCAATACTAATTTACACGTTTGCTTGTTCGTGGATAACTGCACCCATTGAGGGGGCTAGAATATTAGCTGTGGAGACGGTAGGAGGTAAAAGTCACTGGAACTTTATGAGTGGAGTACTTCGGGCATTGGTGGACAAAGGCCACAATGTCACCGTGTTCACGCCATTCCCTGAGGGAAACCGTGAAAACTATACAGAAGTGTCCACATCTACAGAAGCTATGCAATTTTTAGCACAAGACCTCAATGATATGATGGTTAAATTTGGTGACCCTCTTAAAATTATTGGTCTTGTGTCAGAGATGAGTAGAGATATGTGCGACGTAGTTTATGAAAATAGTAAAATGATAGAGATTTTAGCTAATAAACGAACCGATTTTGATATAGTTCTAATTGAACCAGTATTCTCGGATTGCGTGACATACGTCGCTGTCAAGTTGAATTTGCCGCTCATATACGTCTACCCAGTACCAACAATGGATATAAGGGAACGTTCATTTACGGGACACCTGTCCAACCCCGCTGTGGTTTCCTTTAACCTGGCAAGTTTTGGTGTTCCAAAAACATTTTTCCAGAGAACTGCGAATGTTGCTCTTTTGATTTACACGACAGCCGTAAGTAAAATAAATGATCTGATTCTGAAGTACAAAGAACCGAGAGACTACGATTTGTATGCATCCATCCCACCTTCTTTGATATTTGTCAATAGACATTTCACAATGGAACCTGCAAGTCCTATCCCGTCAAATGTTGTTGAAATTGGTGGAATACATTTGAAAGCAGCCAAGAAATTACCAAAAGTAAGTGTTGTAGTTAACATTTAAGTGTAAAATGTAGTTAACTGTTAGGAATGAAACCTATTAGTGATTTACCCAAGTTTCAAAAGAGAGCAAAAGAGGAAGGGAGAAGTATCCACTTTTATATAATATTTTCAAAATTTGAAAATCAATCAAAAATATTAAATAAATGATTCCAGGAAAATGTAAGCCGTTTATCGGTACCTTCTTTTATGAAGCTAAACCTATGTTGACAATTTATACATAAAAAAAAAATTCAAAACCAATTTTTAATTTTACAAAATAAATCAAAACAATATAATTTGTTTATTTATAACTGAAGAAGAATTAATATAAGTATATAGACTCCTCTTTCGCATAATAATATTATATTTTTTTAAATATTATATTGGACAATAATCTATTTAATCTATTTCTTTAAGTATCTTATGACATTATCGATTTTAATAATATTTTTAATGTTATTGAATTAAATAAATCCATCACATTGATTCCGAAAAAAATCATTTAATAAATTCTATTTTTACCTACAGGATATATTAGAATTCATTGAACAATCTCCTCATGGTGTTGTTTATTTCACTTTTGGTTCAACTGTTAAAATGTCTTCATTTCCAGAAAACACCAAAAAAGCATTTATGGATGCACTCGCACAAATCCCTCAAAGAGTTTTATGGAAATATGAAGATGATATTGAAAATTTACCAAAAAATGTTATGATTAAAAAGTGGCTACCTCAACGTGAAATTCTTTGTAATATTTTAGTGTTTTAAATTTCTAGAATACAAATCGTGTTATAATTCTTAACTTTTTTTTTATTATAGTACACCCGAATGTGAAACTCTTCATCAGTCACGGGGGTATATCAGGGTTATATGAAACAATAGATGGTGGTGTCCCCATTCTTGGATTTCCTTTATTTGGTGATCAGCCGAAAAATGTTGACAGTTTGGTCAATGCAGGAATGGCGATTTCTATGGATATTTTGTCCGTAACAAAGGATGAGTTCTTAAAAAATGTTTTAGAACTATTAAACAATAAAAAGTATAGCCAACTCATATTTTGTAAATAGATGTTGAAAATGTTGTATTACTGAAAATATTTTTGTATATATTTTTCCAGGTACATGAAAAATGCTAAAACTGCTCAAAAAATATTCAGAGATCGGCCGATGTCACCAGCAAGCTTAGTTGTGTACTGGACAGAGTATGTTCTACATCATAAGGGTGCTCTCCATCTGACATCTCACGCAATTAACCTACCTTGGTATCAATATTATCTCTTGGATCTCATTGCTTTAGTATTAGTTTTTATTGTTGTTGTATTTTTTATTTCCTACAGAATTTTTAAATTAGTTTCTAAATACTTTTCAATTTTTTCTAGAAATATTAAATCGAAATCTGAATAGTTCATACTAATATTATATAGGTATTTGTATACTTTATCGGCAGATCCAAAGTTACTGAACAGTGGGTTTTTCCATTTCAAGAAGCAATTTATAGTTCAAATATAAATATATTTTGTGTTA